TTGGTGTACATCAAAGAAAAAAACTGAAATTGGTCATCCTTATGTTACACTTTAATTTTTGTAATTAGCTTACATTAAACTTAGTTATTAAATTGTAGAAATTAATTATTAAAGTTATTAAAAACACTTAATTTTTTTTAATAAATAAATAAAAAAGAGAAATGTCAAAAGAATAGGTGACACATGGCATGCTCTCGTGATTTGAGTTTAGAAAAACTTTAAAAGATTATATAAGATTTGGATATCAATGGTGAAATTTGGTTTTTTATATGACTATGAAGTAAAATTCTTCTATTGGTATATTAAATTTCAGCCGAAATACTGTTTATAATGATAACCTTATGAGTCAACTAATTGTTAGTTCACAATGTATGTCCATCTATTTTATAAAAATTAATTAATTTTTCATTTATAGTTGTTGAATATATTCTGTAGTCAATACACTAATATTTATTACTTTTTTGTCATAACAATGTGCAATCCATTTAGTATAATTCGTGTATCGATTTTTTTTAATAGATTTAAAACATGACACTCATGTTTGTTTGATAATTAACAATTTTATATGAACATCATGATTATCGAGTAATTATCATCTATAAAACTATGGTTCTTATTAGAATGCGAATTTATACAAAAACACATTGTTTTTCTTTTTTTATAACTTTAAAATTCAGAGTTAAACTTTAATATTCACTTGTACGGAGCGTTTAGTCTATGTGAACCAACTCTCGGAATACCAATCCCACCACATCCTTGATTACAAAAAAAAAATGTAAATTTACTTGATTTTTTGTATAATCCGAGTGAGCCCTACATCATTATCGAAATGAATCTTCAAATTGTAGAACTATGATTTTTTTGTTACTTAAACGCCTACATTTGTGAATCAAACAGAACACTGTGTGATATTCGATGATTTTTGACAAAAAAAAAGAAGGTTAATTTGTATACTAACTAAGAACAAAATTAAAATTTAATAACTAACTAAAAATTCTAAATTTATTGACTATAATTTTTTTTATTAGTTATTAAGTTAATTTTTTTTTCTTAGTTATACTTGCTAATTTCTAAAAAAAAAAAACATAACACTGAGTAAAAATCCGTGTTGGTGTAATTCATTTCTTAGCGTGGACAAAAATGTCGTACCTTGTAACAAACGAAAACATTCGACCACACACCTGAGTTTTGTAGAGAAATTTAAAAAAATGTCACTTTTCTAGTGTCACTTTACAAAAATACTATATTTTTTAAAATGCCATTTTTTCTTTATATTATTTATGTTTTGGTTAATTATGTTCTATTAGGGTTTAGTTACGAGGGTTTATGAGGTTTTAGGGGTCAAAACATTTTTTAGGATTTGGAATTTTAAGATATAAGTTTTATGAATCTATAATTAGTGGCATTTTTGCAAATGAACACTCCTAAATAGCATTTTTGGAAATACATCTGATTTTTTTATTCTCATATTTAATTTTATATAGAATTCAAAATAAATTGTTTGCGGTTCAAAATATAATATTTTTCTTTAGAGAAAAAAAGATAAATCTTCAATTTCGATGTCTAATTTTCGTTTTTGTTTTAATATGGCTAAATTGTTACGTTACAGAAATAAAATATATAATTAATTAATAAGTGGTGCACATGGTATATGGCAGTTAGGGCCATAACCTCAGCTTGTGTAAAGTTTTGTCCCCACCAAAATAATACGGAAAGATATTTGTGACTTTGACAAAATATATAAAATATAATAAATACTTACAAGTATTAATTAATTGGTTTTAATAATTGTAACAAACCCGTATGGAGATACCCATATCCTAATCTCAATTATTTAATATTGCTTATTTTATTTTGTTGTGAGAGCCGACATTTCAATACTTATCCCTACGTTTCCCCAAATGGAAAGTTATTCTTAATACTCACCAATTCAATGATTAGTGTCTGTGCCACGCCTTAAACAATATTTAGAAAGTGTAACGATTATATACATATTTAGTTGTTGGTGAGAGCCAATAAAATAGATCTTATTATAGAATATTGCATTCGATGATGTGATATAATATTAATTAGATCTAACTTTAGTATGAATTGGACTAATTTTCTTTAAGTAAAGAAGGTATATGCTTGTTTGTACTTGATAAATAGGAATAATTGAAAACTAGGCATATATACCAAAAATGGGTTATCGGAATAAATCCATGAGAACGACATAGATTAAAAAGGAATTTCGTGTTATTAAAATGCTAATAAAAACATGATAGCTAATCATTTGAAATATAATATAATTTATTTTCTCTTTTCTTTACTTTCGACGCAATCCAAGTTTTAACATGGTGGTTTAACACGTACTTAGTGCTATAGTTCGTACTAATGATTTCACATTTGTAGAATTCGTAGAGATTCGAAAAAAAGTACACCTACGACTACGTCTTACTTTGATGGTGCAAATTAAATTAAGAAACAAACTACGTTTAAAGCTAAGAAACCAAATGAACATATTAATTACTAATATGTTTTAACAAAGTTTATTAATGTTTGGGCAAATCACCACCATGACTTTTTTTTTAATCTTTATGCTTCTTCATTCGAAACAAGATCACCACATAATAAAAAAAAATGTACTCCTAATCACGTTTATACATTAATTGAAAAGAATAATTATTTTACAATTTTTTTTTTAAAAGAATCATTAACTCCCACATGATATTTTTTAGAACAAATAATAATAATAATTCGCAATGTCATCAGTATGATTCCTCATCAATCGATCGAGACACAGACACCGTTGTGGTAATTAACATTAAATTAAAACATGAAAAATTAAACTAATAATACAAAAAAACAACAACACACAACCCACTAAAGATTTTTAATTAATACTACTATTAATAGAAGTCATTAATGATAATAATACGAGTTTTGCTTACTCTAAAGCTAAAGCTTAAGCTTTCCTTATTGAAAATCAAACTCTCTGAGCTTACTTTTCACGACGACGACGATCCATTCACGTTACCACCGTGACCTCCGCCGCTATCACTATCAAACCCACCGCCTCCTCCACCGCCGCCGCTGCTACTAACACTGTGGTGAATCTCGTGTCCTCCTCCGTTGTTGTTGATGATTTTAGTTTCGCCGGCGGAAATCGGAGCTTCGATTTTTCGGATCTCGGCGGTTCCGGTTCCGGTTCCGGCGACGGAGAACGGTAGATCGCGGCGGTTAAAGTTGTTTTTGTTGTTATGCATCCAGACTTTGAGAACGCTTTTATCAACTCCGATCTGACGACAGAAATCACGAACATCGTCTTCGTCACGTTTCTGCATCTTCCAATTAACTCGATCTGCGAATTCTTGCATCTTCTCTTTCTGAAATTGGCTGAATTTCGTTCGGAATCGTTTACGAGATCCAATTTGGTTGTTGTGGTTGCCGGAAAAATTTAGATCGGAGAAAGCTAGGTTGTTGTTATTAGTCCCGGAGAGAGAGAGGAGCATGTAAGAGGAAGAAATCGGCGGCGGAGATGAGGAATTAGGGCTAC